ACCACCACACTATAAGGGTTAACTGCTCTTTTTTGTCTAGGTGCTAAAAATAAAGTTATACTCACCCAAACTGCTGAGCCAGCTCTCTGCAGCTCTGGTCTCTGAAGCCTCTCTCCTCCTGCGCTGCAGCATTGGAAAGTTCCTCGCTGTCTTCTCATCTATACACTGTATAGACCGCTGTAGCAGTGGAGGAAAGAGGCTGGAAGGACCGGTCTAAGTGCAAGCTGGCTCCAAGTTTCAGATGAGTATAACTTTTTTTGTCACAAACACATTATGTGTAAAAAAAAATCTCAACAGTTGAAATTTTCTGATCCTCCAACATTTAGGAGGTTATTCACTAAGCTGCCAAAGGCAGCCAAATGAATAACTGAGTCAAAGTGAAGGGAGCCGAAACATCTTCGGCTATTCAGTGCAGCCCTGTACGGCTATTTTCGAGTCGTACATCAGCTGCATTTAACCCGCTTTGCCTTCCTTCGGCTCGGCCAAACAGCCTCAGCATGTTCGGCTGAACCAAAGGGAAGAACCTGTTCGACATAGCCGATGCAACATGTAGATCGGCTGGGGAAAAGGTTCAGCAGTTCAGTCCTTGCTGTTCAACGTAAAGGGCCAAACAGCAGAGAGTAGACTTGTGCGCCGTCAACAAATTTGTTTTGTTTCATTTCGGAATATCCGTTATTTCGTATTTCGTAATTCGTGTCCGAAACTCAATTCGGATTCGTACGAAATACGAATTTTCGTTAGTTTCGGCACATTTTCGTAACTTTACGAACATTCGTTATGATGAAGTCAAAAAGCAAAAATACCTTTGTTAATATTGGAGTCGATGGTAGTTGTTTTTTTTATCCGAAATACAAAATTCCGTTAACGGATTTCGGATCCGAATTTCGGATTTCGAATAAAAAAACAACTCATCAACTGCAATATTAGCAAAGGTATTTTGCTTTTTACCTTCATCATAACGAATGTTCGTAACGGAACGAAATTCCGTTAACGGAATTTCGTATTTCCTGCCTATATTGTAATGCAACTCTCAGCAGCAGGAGAGAAAACCTCTGATTGGTCAACCAAACAAAATACGAATTCCGTTAACGGATTTCGGATCCGAATTTCGGATTTCGAATAAAAAAACAACTCATCAACTGCAATATTAGCAAAGGTATTTTGCTTTTTAACTTCATCATAACGAATGTTCGTAACGGAACGAAATTCCGTATTTCCTGCCTGTATTGTAATGCAACCCTCAGCAGCAGCGGATCCGTATTTCGTATTTCGGATTTAAAAAAAATCTTGTCATGTTGTTCAACCTCATTTACAGGGGTAATATTAGTTCCGGATCCGTTAACGAATTTCCGGATCCGAAATTCGTTAACGGAATTTCGTATTTCGGATATAATTCGGAAACTGCAATTTGGATTTCGGATGCTCTTCTCCCAGCTACACTTAATCGACATACTGCTTGCCCTTGGTCAGATCAATCTCTTCTACGCTTTAGAGACATAATTGACAAAGTAGACAGGATCCTACTGCCATTCCCGATTTTACAAACTCAACTCAATTTACCAAACAGATCTCTTTTTAAATTTCTTCAGATCAAACACTTCGCATACACAGTTTCCTCTTCACTTATTTTTTCACCACTAACACCATTTGAAAAACTGTGCTTAGATGGTCCTATCCGTAAACACTTGATAGCAGACATTTATAAATTACTTAACTTTATCCACGTTGTTTCCTTTCCTGAAGCACAACTATATGTGTAGGTGGGAGAGGGCTTTAGGCCGGACATTGGAAATGAAGGAATGGGAGGATATCTGGATTAACACCAATAAGACTTCCATTTGTACTCTATATCAGGAAAATCGGTACAAAATTCTATATTACTGGTACCGTACCCCAGACCTGTTACACCATATGAATCCTCTGCTCTCGTCATCATGTTGGCGATGTATGACTGGGATCGTCCCAAGATACGTCCCTTCTGGAAGTCTACAATGACCATGCTCCAAAGACTAATTGATGAGACTATACCAGATGAACCTGTACATTTGCTTCTAGGCCTTCCCATTCCACACTTCTTGAAATTTACCACTAAATTTGTCAACCATGTCCTCACTGCAGCAAGATGCCTTATAGCTTTAAAATGGCGACAATCTATTCCTCCGTCTCATGAAGAATTATTGCGAAGGATTTATGATATCCATAATTTGGAATATCTAACAGCCCGATTGCATAATACTATACCTGAATTCAATAAGGTGTGGTCCCCCTAGGAATCCCCCTAGGAATCACTCGAGAGAACTAGGGGCGACGCTACGCTCCCAGATGTTCTTCATTTACCGTGAGTGTGAGATGAGTAGGAGATAAGATTTTTTTTTTCCCTTCCCCTTTTCTTTGGATTATACTATCGTTTAATCTAATTATATTGATTTGATTTATATCCCTGTATCTATGTTAAAACCTGAATAAAAACAAAATTAACAGATATTAAACTAAGGGGTCTATTCACAAAGCTGCCGAAGGATCTGGCCGTAGCTTCGGCCGATCCTTCGGCTAGCTTCGGCACCAGGACCCCTTCGGTTCAGGAGAACCGAGGGGGTGCTGTACGGCTATTCACAATAGCCCGTACAGCTCCCGATCACGGCCGAGCGGCTCAGTCGAGCGCTGAGCCGTGCTGAAAGACGAAGCTGGCCGAGCGGCCGGCCATTGGCCGGCCGACAGCCTGCTTCTTATCAGCCGTACCAGCCTGAAGTGAATAGCCGAACAGTGTTCGGCTCACTTCACTTCTGATCGGTCATTCACTCGGCTGCCCTCGGCAGCTTTGTGAATAGACCCCTAAGTCAGGGCACTAAACTGACTACAGTCTTGAGCTAGATCCAAATGTAATACAAGTCTTTGCCAAGGCAAACCTGTCCCTTTCATGTGCACAGAATAGCTAATTGTAAGCTCTGAGCCGAATATGTTACTATAAAGAATAACTATAGTGCCATCCAGATTCCAGATGTTCCGTACCATGTTTTATACGAGAACCAGACGTTTCAATGAATCATGCATGGGTGATTCATTTCCATTTGTCTGAAGTATTCTTCCACTGCAGCAGTCTGTTTTTAGGTCTCCTTATTCAGTTCATATTATTCCTTCACCAAGCTATACTAAAACTAATAGGATTACAGTGGGAATATCCAAAATGGCAAAATAATTAGTTCACGTGAAGGGGATAAATTTCTGTTACTAGACAAGGGGGTGATTTACTAACCTAAACACACACACACACCAGGTGTGTGTGATTTTCACACAGCAAAACGTATTTATCAACCAAAAAGTCTCTAAAAGCATATTTCCACTAATGCCATATATGGAAAAATCATGCACATGATGCATATATAATGCTGCTTCACAGTTTAGACAAAAATGGTTAGCTCATGCATTTACATTCCTGCATTCATCAACGCAAGCAACATAACATAGAGCTAATTTACACCACATTACCTTGCAATTAATTGCAGGGCTTTCCACAACACACCTGCTGGGTGTGTACACACTACAAAGGTGTTTCGATTCCTCCCATAGATCATGCTGGGAGGGAACACACTACAGAGGTGTATACACGTTCGTGGTGTGTTTAAAAGGTTAGTAAATCAACCCCTCTGTGTTTATAGGTCAAGGCTCACTTGGTTTGACTTGTGCCTAAGGAATATAAGAAAATGCCAATTCACAGATAGGGAAAGTTTAGTAACACAGGTTCTTACATCTGCTTCAGAGTGTAAACATGTAAAATGTGTGTTTTTAGCTATAATACTAGATTCTTATTTTTTGCACTGTTTGGACACAGACTGTGCACATAGAGGAGCTCCTTGTCCTTTCCTAGAAGCAAGCTCTGTTCTTACAGTACACAATACCATGGAGCTACAAACTTCCAGGCTGTTCTCTCACTGTGGCTTGTAGCCTGTTAGTAACAGCGAAGCATGCAGAAAGATGCTGAACCCAGTGGCGTAACAACCGGGGGGCGGGGGGCGCTTGCCCCGGGCGCAGGAC